TTTTTTTTTGAGACAGAGCCTCAAGCTGTCCCCCTGGGTAGAGTGCCGTGGCATCAAAGCTCACAGCAACCTCCAACTCCTGGGCTCAAGCGAGTCTCCTGCCTCAGCTTCCCAAGTAGCTGGGACCACAGGTGCCTGCCACAACGCCCAGCTATTTTTTGGTTGCAGCCGTCATTGTTTGGCGGGCCCGGCCTGGATTCGAACTCACCACCTTAGGTATATGTGGCTGGCGCTTTAGCCACTTGAGCCACAGGCACCGAGCCTATATTGTTATTTTTTAAAATCTTTTTTTCTTCTTGGGCGTCACCTGTGGCTCAAAGGAGTAGGGCACTGGCCCCATATACCAGAGGTGGCAGGTTCAAACCCAGCCTCGGCAAAAAAGTCTTTTTTTTCTTTTCTTAGAGATAAGGTCTCACTCTGCTGCCCAGACTAGAGTGCAGTGGTGGGATCATGATAGCTCATTGAAGGTTCAAACTCCTGGTCTCAGGTGACACTCCCGCCTCAGCCTCCCAAATAGATGGAACTGCAGGTGTGCAAAACCATGTTTCTATTTTTTTGTAGAGACAAGTCTCATTCTTTGCTGAGGCTGGTGTCCAAATCCTGGCCTCAAGTGATCCTTCCACCTAGGCCTCCCAAAGTGCTAGGATTACATGTGTGAGTCATCACACCAGGCCCCAATAAAATTTTTTGCAAAAGCAGGCAGTAGGTTGTAAAGCTATATAGTCTGCTGACTTCTGATCTAAAACAAGTAACTTTTTTTTTCCCCCAGTGGTAAGATAGGACTTTTATTAGAAGTTAGAAAAGAATACAGAAATAAAAAGCACCAGAGCTTCTGGAAGGGGGAAAGAACTGAAGAACTCCCTTGGGAGTCTCCACATGAGCTCTTTTACTTAGGGGTCTTAAGTCTAGAGGATTACACATGGCTGGCAGTTGGTAGATCCTTGGTATTTTTCTTTTTTTCTTTTTTTGAAACAGAGCCTCAAGCTGTCGCCCTGGGTAGAGTGCCATGGCATCACAGCTCACAGTAACCTCTAACTCCTGGGCTCAAG